TCTCTCCAATGCTGCAATATCTTTCTTGTAATATGATGACCAGAACTGTATCTTGTGCTTCAAATGTGATCTAACCAATACACGTAGCATTATTTCCCTACGTTACACTTACTTCTCGTGACAAAGAACCAAGGACTCCATTTGCATTCTTTATGGCCTCGTTCATTTGTGCTGCTACTTTTACAGTCTGTGAATCTAGAACTGTAGATGGCTTTATTCCTCTTCCCGTCTCAGGTTCCTACCGCCCAGAGTAAGTCAGTTCTTTATTGATACAACCTAAGTGAATCACTTCACATTTCCCTATATTAAACTCCATCTGCCACCTATCTGCCCATTCTACAAGCCTATTTATGATAAAGCATATATAATAAAGCTCTGGTCTGAAGTTGATGCATAGGAAATATATTACAATTTTATGTAATACGTTAGGCTCTCTGTACTTTTCGGTGTCTAGTACTACATGGACATGATGCTGCCTCTATAGATATTTTGATGGCTTGGCTCAGTTGGAAGCACTGTGAGGCAGAAGGTTGCGGATTCAAGTCCCACGTCGGGACTTTGAACTCATGTAGTCCCGGATAATAATCTAATGCAGTGCTGGGGGTGCTGCATTGTCAGAGGTGCCACTCTTCCGATGAAACATTGAAAGATCCATGGCATTAATTGAAAAGAAAAAATAATTTCTACCGGTGTCCTGACCAACAATCCCCCAGTTACAATTGATCATTCACTTCATGATTGTTTGTGGAACACGGCTTTGTGCAAATGGACTACCACATTTGCCTACAAATGCAGAGCTATTTCACTTTACAGTAAATCTGGTGAAGCTCTTTGAGATATTCTCCTGAAGTGAAAGGTGCTATACCAAATGCAAAAAATATTTTTATTTAATGTTATTTATTCTGTGTCAATAATAATGAACTTCTATTATTACCCTACTTAGTCAAACATACTTCGATTTATAATGGATCTCAAAATACACCTGCCACACAGAGAGGAGGCATCTTGGGTGTTTTATTTCCAAATTGTAATTCCTACACTTCAGGTATTTGGTTAAAATGTCAAATGCATACAATTAAAAATGGATGGCTAAGTGACTGTTTTTAAGGGCAAAAAATATCAAATAAACTCTTTACCAGCATTCACTACAGTAAATAGCACTGACCTGACAACTACAGTTTAACAGGGTGGTTGGGGGTCTTTCAAATACAAACCAATGTTAATAGGTGCTGTATCACTGGTCAGGTTTCTGCATTCAGTGGCATACTGATAGAAGACAAAAATCAGAACTGGGGCTTCAAACATTGTCAGAAAAGCAACATGGACATAATCAAATAGCTAGATTTTTAAAATGGTCTTAAACAAGGGAGAGGAGCAAGGTAAAGGGATATTGGGAGTGAGTTCCAGAGAAGGCTTGACCACTGAGCTGGGAAGGAGGGTGGAGCATCTGAAAAAATTGTGATGTAAACTAGATTTGGATGCTTAAAGGAAGCAACAATATCAACTTGCATTTATTGTATATAGTGCCCTTCATGTGGGTAACGTCTCAGAGCATTTAAACATTGAGAGGAGTGTTTAAAGGCTGGAGGTGTTCACATAATAATAATCCTTGCATTTGATATAGCATTTTATCATGTCTTCGCGATGTCTCAAAGTGCTTCACAGAATCTACTGTAAAATGTATTGACTATATTTTGTGGGTGAAATATACAGTCAATTGTAGATTTGTACATAGCTAGGGAAGGACAAACTGAAGGGATTTAAAGCAAAGGATGAGAACCTTTGAAGTTCAACTGCTGGGCTACTGGTGCAAGTGAGGTTTGGTAATGGTGGAATAATGGGTGTTTGGAACTTAGTTCAGGAGAGGAAATGGGCTAAAGTTTGTATGTTTTGAGGGTGGAGTTATGGAGGAGAGAATTGAAAAAGTCTAACTTCAAGGTAACATCGTTATAGATATGGGTTTCATCTGCAGATGGGGTAAGATAAGCACAAAGGCAGACAGTATTCCAGAGAAGGAACTACAGTGGCTAGATGTAAGAGTTTCAGTTGAAGCAACTTATTTAGAACATAGGACAATCTTAATACCTCTTTATTGTAATCATAAAGCATCACCCGCTTAAAATGTTCCTTTGCTGGATACTTGCAAAACCTACCTTTACAATAATCTTAGAAATAAGAAACACATTTTTTAGTGTTGAAGTAATAAAAATGTTATACCCAACGCCAAAGGATGTTTGGCATTTGAAGCTGCTTCCTCAAATCAAGTTGCCTCAAGTGGCTTGTAGGAAGGATGTACAACTTGTTTTAGAAGCACAATGACTGAACTATGTACCCAGTCATACATTTCCAGCCAATAAAACAGTGTTGGTATGACTGGCAATGATAAGCTTTTTCTATGTGAAGAGCTGACTAAACTCAAGACACATTTAATGGCAGACGAATGGCGAGTAATGAGCCTTGATCATCCTAGCCACAAAGTGCCATTTACCTTAAAAAGCAATGAGAAAACCTGAACTGAGATATGCAATATTGTCCTGGGATCCTCTTGAGCGTAAATATTTAAAATCATAACTGTACACCTTAAGTAAGGGAAATCCTCATCAACAAATACTGGATATTTGGCTTAACTTCTTCATCCCTCTGAGGTTAGTGGATCTTTTACAACAATAACAACAACATTACATTTGTACAGCGCCTTTCACATCGGGAGGATGTCCCAAGGCGCTGGACAGTCAAGAGTTTCAGACCCAAGCTGGGGGTCGGGATCAGGGAGGGAAGGGGGGGAAAGCAGGGTGATCGAAAGCAGGTCGAAGAGGAGGGTCTTGAGACAGGTCTTGAAGGAAGAAAGGGAGGGGGCGAGGTGGAGGGACTGCGGGGTGGAGTTCCAGAGGGAGGGGGCAGAGTGGCTGAAGGCCCGCCCGCTAATAGTGGAGCGAACGAGGCGAGGGATGTGAAGCAGGCCGGAGCCCGCTGAGCGGAGGGAGCGGGCAGGTTGGTAGGGGGTTAGGAGGTCACAGAGGTGGGGGGGGGGGGGGGGGGGGAGCAAGACCATGAAGGGCTTTGAAGGTGAGGACCAGGATTTTAAACTGTATCCTCTGTGTGATGGGAAGCCAGTGGAGTCAGGCGGGGATGGGGGTGATAGGGTCACTGAGCCTGGTGCAGGAGACGACACGGGCGGCAGAGTTCTGGATGATCTGCAGCCTATGGAGGGAGGAGTTGGGGAGGCCAACAAGCAAAGAGTTTGCAAAGTCAAGCCTCGATGTAATGAAAGCGTGTATTAGGGTTGCGGCCTGTGGTGTGAGACAATGGCGGAGCCGGGCGATGTTGCGGAGGTTGGGAAAGGCAAAGCAGGTCATGGCACAGATGTGGGATAGAAAGAATAGTTGAGGCTCAAACAAAACCCCAAGGTTCCAGACTGGCTTAGTAAGGTGGAGTGTTCAACCATGATGGTAATGCTGTCAGCACCTGAGGTGTGGAGGTGCTGACAGGAGCCAATCAGGAGAGCCTCGGTCTTGTTGATGTTCAACTGAAGAAAGTTCGCTCTCATCCAGACTTGATGTCTGACAGACATTCTGTCAGGACAGCAGCGGTCCTGGAGTCAAGGGTGGAGGCAGAGAGGTACAGTTGCCTGTCATCCGCATACATGTGGAAGTTGACCTCATGTCTGTGGATGATGTTACCAAGAGGGAGAATAGAGAAGTTGAAGAGAAGAGGACCAAGGACAGAGCCTTGAGAAATGCTGCATGAGACGGTGCGGGGGCTAGAGGAGAAACCGTTTGTGAAGATGAAGTGGAAGCGGTGTGAGAGGTACGATCTGAACCAGTCAAGGACAGAGCCATGAAGGTTGAGGTGAGAGGATAGGCGGTGGATGAGGATAGAGTGGTCGACGGTGTCGAAGGCAGCAGAGAGGTCAAGGAAGACAAGGAGGCAGAGTGAGCCCTGGTCGCAGATGGACAGAATGTCATTTGTCACTTTGACCAGGGCTGTTTCTGGTCGGCACGGAAACCCGATTGGTGGGGTTCGTGAAGGGAATGGTGGGCGAGGAAGGAGCGAAGCTGGGAAGCAACAACTCATTCCAGGACCTTGGAGAGGAAAGGGCGGTTGGAGATGGGGCAGTAGTTTGAGAGTAGAGATGGGTCCCAGGGAGGGTTTTTTAAGGATAGGAGTGATGACGGCAGTTTTTAATGGTTTTACAGATGTTTATCCACTTACTTGGGTACCGAAAGTTCAGACCAGTAGTCTATAATGTATTGGATAAAAGGGAAATAGAGAAGAGCTTACAGCAGCTGGCTCCACAAAGTCAACTAGAGACTGAGACCATGATGTCATTGCTATCTATGTATGGGAGTCAAAAGAAACAAGCTATTCGATTCCCCAAAAGAGCAGAAGAAACCCAGTCATGGCCAATGCCAAAGTCATGGAGTTGGTAATGAAATATTGGACAAACATTACTTAAGGAACATCTCAGGAAATGGTGTGACAATCTGGACATGTCTCAACCATGGAGTCTTCATTGAGACCTTTTGGTTTCTAAAAGCCATGTGATCTAAGCTAACTGGTGGCCAGAGATGTCTCCACAAAGAGGGGGAGAAATGGTGAGAAAGCTTATGGATTTCTAGACCCTATTTTCTTCAACGTTAGCTCAAAGTCTGACGGTAATGGAGTAACCTGCCAATAAATTTTCCTTATATTTCTGAGACTGAAGTGTTTTCCTATTCTAATAGTTCGCTGCCACAAAGTATCTTTACAGTGCACCTGTAGCTTTCAAGTTCAACCCTGTACAGATATCAGAGATGCAAACCAAACCCCCAGCCAAACCATACACTGGGAGATTTGAGCAACAGTAGGGTTAAAATGGAAACCATCAGACATTTCCTAGAAAGGGACAAAAAAGATAACCAATAAATTTTTTTTTAATAAGACTAGTTCTAAATTTTCTTTTGGAAAACACAGTAAAGTCAAGAGTTTTGGACATATAGTAACAAAATGAACTGGCCTACCAGCAAGGAGTCTTCCAGTGAAAACCCAACAGATTCAAGGAGTAACACACCCAACGAGTACTGTCAGATGGGAGAAAAGAACTGAGTTACCAGTGTTGGGCACAGTTCTTACAGGAGGTGTCAATACCCATCTTGCAAGGACCAATGTATGGAGCGTGCTTGTAAATTAAAAAAAATTCTGACACTGCGCATGCACAAATGAGATAAAATTAAAAGTTTGGAAGATGCTTCGAAAAAGAGAAAAAGGACTTCATTCAGAGAAAAAAAATCAACATTTAGTATCCCCAATGTTTCATTTGTTTTGTGGAGTGTATTACATGGAAGTTAATGACACTTCCCGAGTTCAAGACATTAGGTAAACAGATATTTTGAAGTAAAGTTAGCTTATGAAATTATTTAACAATATAAAGCAAATGTAAACATTTTTTAAAGTTTAAATTTAAAAGTTAAAAGGTTTTTCATTACATGATTTACTTTTCTACCCCATCACAACTTTTGAGCTTTATGAAACTGTCCCACAATAATGAATGGAAACCTAAACATGAGAACTAAAGGTTACCTACCTTTGGTGAAGTGTCCTCATTCTTTCAACGTATACCCTCCAACATATATACTGTATGATAGGCCCAATGTTATGTAAGCTCCTACCCCTCACATATTGCATTGCATATAAACTCACTCTTAAGACTAGTCCTCAGTTCTTTCAGACAGAGGAAATACCACAGACATTTAGATTATATAGAGAAGGGAACAATTTCAAAAATACTAATTTATAAACCCTCCAAATAAGAGCTCAAACAGTGTGGAAGAGGATAGGAGTGAGGTATAGAGAAAAATATGATGAACAGTACTTTGCTCAGAGAGAAAAAATAACAACCTGTAACCTTAAATTTATTTTCTACTTGTTTAGGCTTTATACACCTTAGGACAAGGTCACTGCAGTGCCAAAATATTTAGATGACATCTTGCAATTTAAAGTCTGCTTTAAAGACTAATATGCTGAAATGAGCATCTTTGAAAAACCATACTACAACGCCAAGTCAAAGCATGAACACAGAGTAACTTGTGATACTGGCTAGTGAAGCATGCCAAACCTCTAAAGCCATGTTGTAGTACAAACTATGTTTGATCTCCGAGGATTGTTTTGATGGGAAGAATTTCTGCACCACATCACCAAACTTAATGCTATCTAACAAGCATTAAACTTGTCAAAAGACATCTGCCCAGGACGTTGAGACATGAATTTTGGAAGGCGTTGTATCCCTATCCTCCTTTCTGAAGCACAAAACTTAAGAAACTGAGCCAGCAAGATCTATGAGAAATCAGTACATTAGCTAAACCATTTAAGGCAGAGTTTGCACAATGGAGACAGCAGCACTAAAAGTTCTCAAGATCAGACTCAATAAGCTGTCAGAAGTCATGGCCAAAACCAAGCCCTATATATACAGCTTTATTTAAAACAGCTACGTCAACCAACCATGTTATCTGCCGACACTGAATGCATAATCAAGTATTTCAAATCATGAGCTGGCATATTGCTGTCCAGGGCTAACCCAGAGCTCATTCTATCATTATGTGGTCTACATTCTTTGAATGTAGAGGATTCTGTTTACAACTCCTACTAGTATCTCCAGCCCTGATATATCAACCAGTGCAATGGCACTGATTAACAGATCACTTAAACTATAAGCTCTGGTTAGGGAAAGCAAACTTATTGGAGATCGCCTGATGTAATTAATATGTGCTCTTCCTCAGAGTATTCTGGTGCAGATGCTTCAGTACCATAAGATAACATGAGCCGCCTAAGTGATTTTTTGGGTGTGGAATAATTGCTTGGGTGTGAAGTTTTCTTTCAAGTCATGCAAAACTTGTGCCCTTTAGCTATGTGCTTAAAATAATTCATCCCGTGTTGACAATGATGAATACTCTATATTCTTAAAATAAATGATCCCGTGCTGACAATTCAATAGAGATAAGCGCAAGGTTCCTGCACAGAGGAAGCAAAACAGGAGGCACGTGGATGTGATAGAACTTGCTACAGTGGGAGCTGAAATAAACCCAGTTATTTGAATCATTCTGGTCTATCTCAAAATAACATGAGCTGGCAATTAACAAGACAAATGGATGCTAGGCTATGTTGCTAAATCAGTTAAGTTCAGGTCCTCAGAAGTCATTTTCAAGCTGTACAGTGTGGTGGTCTGTCTGCACATCGAGTTCTGCGTTCAGTTCTGGTTGCCACGACATAGGGGTCTGCCCAGGTGCTAGAGGCAATACAGAGCAATGAGGATGATCTCCAATGATAGAGAGGTGAATTATGAAGAACCGTAAGATAAGCAAGGGTTTTCAGCCTTGTAAAGAAAAATCTCAGCAAGATGCTAAATGGGATTGAAAAATCAAACCCAGAACAGTACTTCTAGACAAACCAATGCAGCAAAGACAAGAGGCAACAGGTCGACGGTTGTAAAGCTCAATTTCAGGACTAACATCAGGAATTCTTTATTTACACAAAGAGTAATTAACAACTGGACTAAGTTGCCAGGAAGGGTGCTTGAAGCCTGTACTGTAAGAAACATCTGAGACAGTAATGGTAAGATGGAAGTTGGGCATTCTGGAAGGATGAGAGCAAATGGAATGAAGGGCCTTCAACTTCATTGAAACCTCTCATGATCTTGTGAAATCCTGCACTTGACAAATCTTTTGCTGACTTCCAGTATATAAGCTTCTTCTTCTATAGTGGGCAGCTGAGACAATTGAGTAGAAATGCTCAGTGAGCAGAACAACAGGGGAAAAAGGAACTGAGGACTGGTCCTTGGGGATGGCTTTTATGCATTCTGGGAATGGAGTATAGAACTCCTCGATGGACACTGTCCCAGTAACTTTCACCCAGAAGATAATGGACCAATCTTAAGAAATACAGAGGAAAATTAATAAGAGGATTGCAACCTTTTCTAAGATATTCCATATTAAAATTCTATGCAACTAATTTTAACTACATTTTCTAAAGACTGCGAAGCATTTTTGTGTGCAAACAATGGACTATTTGTAAATTGGAACTTTTTAAATAAGTGTTAATGTTTTCTTAATTTAAATGTTTACGACCATTTTCAGTCAAGATAATCCAAGTAGTCTGAATGCAGCATGATACATAATCAATTCCATTCAACTAGCTTTTCTCTTACAATCACCTTGAAGTACAATGGCAGATTCCTACTTTAACGGGAACACACCATATTTTCAAAGATTCCCAAATAAAATTTTATCTATATGTAATTTGTGCACGTCATAAATACGCAATTTAAAGGTTAGAATGATTGACACAGCTTACTATCAGATCGGAAAGAAATTTAGCATAACTTTAGTCTCACTTTCAAAATGGAAGCCACCAAATTAATCTGTAAATTGGATCTGAACGCATCATTTTGAGTAAGAACGTTTCCAAATAGATTTTCTAGCAAAAGCTGTTGATAATCTCTTCAAACGTGCCCTTATTCGACATTTGTAAGAAGAGCAAAACTACATAAGATCAGTACTTGTTCAGCAGAATTGGTATTATTTCCTAACTGCTCTACATAGTCCAAAACACATGTTTGAAGTCTACACTGGCAGTTGAAATAACATTGTCTGGATAATTGTAGTACATTAACCGCAAGCACTAGGAGTTTTCTTGGAACGAACAGCAGTCAAAATCAGTCCCTGCTGCAGAACCTCACAAATGTGCTGGCCTTTTTGTCAATTCCACTCATAAACAACTCTCATGTGGCAAATTGTGGAGAGTGGAATAGAAAGAAGCAGGAACAGTACTTAAGGTATGAAAGGCATTTGGCCAATAATCCCTCTCATAGTGCAAAACAATAATTTAAAATAAACATTACACCTGACTCATTTGTCGAGTCTTTGTTCTTGCCGTGGACAACTCCACTTCTGCCTTGAACATGCTTTGTAATAACAATCAAATATCATAAACAAATAAGACATAGAAGCAGTTGAATACTCACTACTCCAAAGGGCAGCTCTTGGTGAAGAGCATCATGTGGTAGGAACTGGAGTGGGCCAGATGGAGGCAGAGTTGGAGGGTGTGGTGACGGAGGGTAGGTAAAACCTCCAACAGGGAGATGCTCCCCCAATAACTCCACTTCATTCTCTATCCTTTGTAAAGGCTGGCAAAAAAAATGACAGAATTCATTAAACATAATTTCTTTGGCCAGTACACTCAGTAAGTAGCATTTCTCACCCTCAGAGCTAAAAAAAAATACATCTTGCTCCCTGTCCATGTTTTTTTGGAATTGTTCCGTTTTTCAAAGATTTTAGTCAAAATCAGTATTTTTGTATCCAATTTCCACGGTGCTATCTGAGGTTATAAATTGAGGTTGAACAAAATAAACTGCAACAGGGCCCTAAGATGGTTTCGGGAACACATGGATCTGAACCACCACAGTGGAAACACAGGCTGTGAATTGATTCAAGCTCCATTCGAAAATGGCCCATTAAAAGTTCTTGGGACAGATAAATAAAAAAAATTAAGGACTATTTTTAATGCTATTAAAAAGCTGGCCATGCTCTTAAACAACATTAAATATTTAATTCACTGTGCCATTATGAACTTGTAGACCTTGCCTTGATTTGGTGTAATCCACCAATGCATTCGTAGGCAATAGAGAGATAGGAGGCAGATGAGGGAGAAGGGAATAGAAGAGGTGGGGCTTGTTTGAAGTTTTAACACCGACACAGACTAGTTGGTCAAACTGCCTGTTTCCCTACCATGTCACTCTATGCAGTTCTCTTAAGCAATGCGATTAGGTAGCAGAAATATATATCGTGCTCTCTGTTCATATTTGCTTTATTTATGGAAGTAGCAGTTATATTCCAGGACGTTTACGAGGAAACTAGACAGAAAGCTTAAAAAGAATGAGCTACAGGGTTATGGGGAAAGGGAAGGTAAGTGGGACTAAAAGGATTGCTCAGAGGAGCTGGCACAGACACTGTAGGCCGAATGGCCTTCTTCAATCCCATAAAGTTCTATGGTTCTATAAATAAAGTATTGTGAAACTAAGAATGAAAATATTTTGGCGTTGTGAAAATTTGACACGAACATTTGACATGGTTTCCACTTGGGCAATTAGGTTAAAAATGTTATACAGAGCAGTTGTCAGTTGATCCATTGGGCCCTCTAACTCACTTATCTACAGTATTGGCATAACAGGACATCTAAGTAAAAAATATCTCTTCCTCCCTTCCTTCTTTTAGGATGTTCTTTTTACTGCAGTGTCTGCGCTCAAACTAAAACTACCAATATTTCCTGGCTGCTCAAAGTCCAAACGCAGGTACTGAACTGAAGGTAAATAAACAGGAATGAACTCAAGTTAAATATGCTGCATCCCAATGAAAGTCAAGTAAAATTGTTGAGATAGAACCAGCCTCGACTATATCAGTATCTCAGATCCCCCCGAGTAAAGTCATCCTCGCCAATTTAACCAAGTAAATCAGTACTACTGGAAGCAAAGCAAATAGAGAAACAATATATATATATTATATATGTTAAATACATATACACACACACAGTAGTCATAGATGGTGAAAAGATCTGGAAGGACTCACATTTGGCACATTATTTGTCAATAAATTCATATATTTTTTGTATTACAAATGATTTGTTTTGTGTATTATGTGTTATTATTTGTTATTTTGTATAGCATTGTCATCTTCAAGTGTTGATCAAATTCCCTTTTAAATGCTACCCCAGTTGCAGAATTGGTGTGCTCATTTGGCTTCATTTTTAATTAGTTGTTACGGATGCTCTTAATAAGCAGACATACAAGTGGAGAAATAAAAGAAAATGAATACTGGAATCTGAAAACGGAAAATTCTGAAAATGCCCCATTTCACCCACAAACTACAGTCAATTCACGTTTCAATATATTCTGTGAAGCTCTTTGAAAACATCTCAACGACATGATAATGGGCTATATCAAATTCAAGGATTATTAGATTATTATTAAATCAATCTGCAGGTTGACTTATTTTAGTTAACACCTTTTACCTGAAATGGTGGGTTGAGAGCTGTCTACTGAGGATGGACACTCAAGAAAAGAAGGTATTAGGAACAACCTGAAAACTTATGTAAAAAATGACAGTTGATGCACCAGTAAACAGATTGGAAATGCTGTAAACTGGAGATTTAAAATGAAACGGAAGCGGATCAGACGATAATTCCAACAACTCAGTAAAAAAAAAAATTGTGGAATATAGAGAACCCAGCTAAGTTATTAAAGTTGATATTTAAGCCTGCAGGCTGGAGAGTAATCACAAGCATTGGTTCACATGCAGAACCATGGGAGCATTGTAGGTTACATTCAATGTGTCTTGGGAGACAATTCCAGTATAGTGACATGGGATTAAACCAAGACGTAATCACGAGGGATACCAAGATAGAGCATTACTGAAAAGATGCTACCAGACTGTTCCATCATTATTTTGGTCCTCGTCTAACTTAACAGGTTCCTACAGCTCTCTGGAAGTCATAAGCAACGACTTCATTCGTGTCCAGGTGGGTTCCGCTGGTTATGGCTAAACAGTGCAGTCGGCAGTGCACTCCTTCAAACTCCCAACGTCTTCGCTGGCTCATACAAATGGACAGCATCCGAACGGTCGAAGTGTCTGAGTCAGTGCTGCAAAATACTAAGTGTGCAGCTAGTTGTTGTTCCTCTTTGCAAGATGCATTTAGTTTCTATCGCAATGGGTTGAATCATGCTGGCATTAAAAGCCAGGATTACAATCCATAGACCTTATCTCCCAGAAGCTATCTCTGGGAGTCTCAAATCAGTCATATATAGAAACTAAGTAATGTACATTGACATACACAATTCTTTGGTATGTGTCACACACAATGATAGTAAAACTTTTTCATGTTGAGGTATTTCAGCTTATTCATTGATGTGATACTCAGCGCCAATTCTAAACACTATGGGGAGTCCACAATAACAAATTGTTGCCTCTTCACCTGTCTGAATTTCCATGAAAATTAGAACTTTGCAATTTTTTAAACACCCCCCCCCCCACCACCCAAACAGCCTCAGTCTCAGAACACTTGATATTCTTACATTTAGAAAGTAACAAAATATCTTTTTTAAAAAAACAGGAGATTTATTGATAAATTACAAGACTGTTTTTTTTAAACAAGGAAGTCAGATGTTTTCGTACAACTTTCTTGCCAGAAGATACAGAAGATACAGCCAGTTGATGTAATCTTTTGAGTTCTGATGTGAATTCAAGTCAAAACAATAATAAATTGGTCATTTTCAATCCATGACCGTTTGTGGGACATTGCTGTGCGCAATTGGCTGCCGCGTTCGCCCACAAATATACAGTCAATTCACTTTACAGTGTGTTCTGTGAAGTGCTTTGGGACGTCCTCCCGACGTGAAAAGCGCTATATCAAATGCAAGGATTATTATTATTATTATTATTATTATGAAGGAACAGAGGTAAAAGTACAGTGGAGGCGAGTGTGGATAACTATCATTTTCAAGACAAGCATAGTTTCAGATGGAAAAAGACAGGGAATAACAGGAATAGCTCCAGCTTACTTCTAAGGTCATTATAAAAAACAGCTTTAGTACAAACGATTATGGTTTAAACAATAAACAAATTATTACATAAAGTTTGACAGAAGATTAAATAAATGTGTTTTGTATAATTTCCTGATTTTAATCCTCCTGAGACCTTTTACCTTGGACTAATTTTAAAGTACATATCACTAAAAAAATCTATCCATATTTTTTATTTATGTCCATTCTAGCTCAGGTGTTAGAATCTAGTGCCTGATGCATGTCCAGCTATGCAGTAAGAAGGGAAATCAGTACTCAAAAGAGATAACAGCTGAACTGGAAAATATGTAAGTGTCAGGTTTTTGATAGTTACAGCAGTTGATGTGTAATCTTCCTGCTCTATGTCACCCTGCAAATAAAACCCAATTTAAAATGGTGTAGTCAATTGCAGAATTTGAAACTTATTTTGAAGAAACTAGCGTGGAGTGGGTTAGGAATGAAAATTACTTTCTGTATAGAAGTGCTTCCCCAATCTAAGTGATATATATACTAAAGTAAGGATTGCTACCTTGCAGGTTACTCTATTTTCATTTACTGAATTGAACCTCTGCCATTTCAAATTTCTCCTTGCATCAAGAAACCTGCTCTGACGACACATTTCATGTATGTGTCAAGAAGTGGTTGAATAGAGATCGAGAGGCACACAAGCCTAAAACACAGGCGTTGTGGTGTATGGTGAGCTCTGGCTCGGAGCGAGTTTTCAGTGGTGTATCACAGGAACCGGTAGTGGGATCAATATTTTTTTATATAATTTTTGTTATAAAGGATTTGGAGACCGGCAATGATTCCTCAAGGCTGGGTCTTTTCTCTCTTAAAAATAGAAAACTGAGAGTAGATTTGCTGGAGGAGTTTGGAAATTCTGAAGTGTTTGGAAAATGTGATAAAATCTATCTGTGAACACAATTCTAAACAAGGGGAACATAGGTGGTCCAAGCTCCACCAGATGCCACGCTACATAACAGGGAGCTGTATAAATGCAAGTTGTTGGATAGGAAGCGAGAAGGGGTTTTTTTTTTGTAAAAGGATTATAGGCTTGTCAAAAACACAACAGTGAATCCCTGTTATGAAATGGTGGTGTGGATTTATAAAATCCCAGCTGTGCCAGCTTGCTCCCTGTGCCAGCTGGTTTCCATGCTGAAAACAAAACAGCCGGCTTCTGGGTCACCAGATCTCAACCGATGTCATTCCTGTGGGCTGTGCATATGCAGCGTTCAAGACATGTCAGTGGCAACCTAGCGACCTGGGAGGTAGCCACTGTAGCGCAAGTAATGAAACTCTGAGCTAATGAAACTCTGCATCTGTCTGGACTCAGTTTGCTCACCTGATTATAATAATAATAATAATCCTTGCATTTGATATAGAGCCCTATCGCGACATTGAGACGTCTCAAAGCGCTTCACGGAATATACTGTAAAGTGAATCGACTGTATATTTCGTGAGCACACAAAAAAACCCACAGTTTTGACGCCTCCTACATTTCTACACTACTTGTGGGAGGTGTGTGGGGGGGGGGGGGGGGGGGGCGAGAAAGAGAGACATAAGCAGGATCTCCTCAGGGTGGAGTTCAGGCTTCAAGGTGACATGTCTGGAAATGGAATTTTGGAATTAAGTCACTCCTCTGCGGCGATCTCGGTAGTTCCACAGTCAGACAATTCTACAGTACTCGAAGGCACTGTTGATGACAGACCAACCAGTTTGGCTCATTGCTAGACTATGGAGAGGCATGCACTAGAATTAGCAATCACTGAGGTCAGTAATTCGTCCCACTTGACTGCTGTTAACCTTGCAAGCCGCAGCTAACGGGTAGGATGGTGCGAGCTGGACAAGCAAAAAGGAAGCTCGCAAGACAATGGCAAGGTCTTAGCTGGTTACACTCCAGCATAACCCTGACGGTTATTCTTAAACACACCGAGATGTGTCAGATAAGCGATGGACAAAAAAAAAAAAATCGCTCACTTAAGTAGATGTTTCAAACACGACAGAATCATCATTCTGGGGCCAGCAGTTTTGAATATTGAGGAAAAATCGAGATATTTGAAATGTACCGACCCTACAGACAGTGACTCATCTTTAAATAATTCATTTACAAAGAATTTTTCTGAAGGTTTCTGGTGCACGAAGATCAAAAAAACAAACGTTATTTTAGCAGCTTGACCATCAGCTTTCATTTGGAGAGTGAGCGCAGGTCTGATGTCAAAGACTTTCCTACTTCCTAAAGAAAGTTAATTTTTCATCCATCTCTTTGGACTCGGGTAAATAAGTCAACCGTGAAAATCAACCAAGGACTTTTTAGTTCTCCTCGATAAAGTACGTGTGTTCTTGTGCATGTTTGGATTCATTGTCACGTCCATTATAACATGCTTCTTTACAGTGTGGATTCGTTTATAATGCGGCTGCAATGTGGACCCTATTCGTTGTGCACGCGCGCAGCCTTGCATATAAATGCAAGTCCCCCACGCCTGTAGACTCTCGCACTAAATCGGACGATTTCAAATTGTTTCAAGAGAGTACACTGTACTTACTTCATTACTGCAGCCGTTAAGTGCGCGTGCTGTGTCGGGTCAAGGTTTTTGTTTCCTGCACTCGTTTCAGTGCACTGCGCATGCGGACACCAATGCAGCTGGTAAGTGAGTTAGCAGCATTTTGAGTTAGCAGATGTTTTGTGTGGGATTTAGGATGTACTTGGGACCAAGAAACCATTACCATTTAGTTGACTAGTGCAAAGAAATCTAAGTGTTTTTTGGTAGGAAATTGAACGGGATTCAGGTGCATGCACAACTTAGAACAATTATGCGATTTATGGGAGTTTTCCTGTGTTGCACTTCATTACAGGTTGGGGTGGGTTGGGATTTTATAGATCCCAAGCAAGGCTTTTGTAATAGTTGTCACTGTACCTATCTGATGTTATATTTGGCTAAAGATTGATTCAGATTAGAATAACTCCCATCTTCTGCTAGAGACTGAAGCATAATGGAAATTGACAGTATTGATGGGCATTCAGACTACTGTATCTGCGCTGGTTGAATTCAATTTTATTTATCCACTTTCTCCCCATACCCCTACAAATTAAATCTTAAGCTGTTTCTCTAGTTTCCTATTGAAAGCCAATACAGACAACTGCATCCAACTTAGACTTAGATGAGATTTTTTAGCACAGGAAGCCAGCCAGTCAGGACCAAGAATAGGTGTATTACGTTTTTGATTAAGCAAGTCAGCATTACATTGACTTTCTCATTCAAGAAAAGTTCCTTGAACATTTTGAATTGTATCAGGAGTACATCGTGCTTGAAGTCTCCTTCAATGCATTTCCTTTACCCATTAAGAAACCTTTGTTTGTAATACAATTTAAATGATCTTGTAGAACTAGCAAAAACAATTCAAATCTAAAAATGGCAGCTAAATGTAAACTAAAAATTTCAACCATTCAGCTTAATAAATGATAACTCTGTTGGTTATAGAACATAGCTTATCAATTAAGTTTTGCATTTTCTTTTACAAGACTGTACAATGTCACTGATGATACGAATATTACTTACCGATCGCGATTGCTGTGTCTGGAAAGGGACAAACTGGCCTGGTGGAGGCACATGGGGGTGATGGTGTGGCGACAGATGAGGAGGATGTAATATAAACGGATCACTTGAGATAAGTGGAGGGAATGCAGCATAAGGAACTGGGAGATGTTGGACAGAACATGCTTGGAGCATCTGGAGGGGAAAGAAAACATTAGACAATTTTACTTAGATTTCTGTGCTTGCAGCAACTTGAGTTATTTTAAACACAGAAAATAAACTGTCATAAACTGGCTTAAATAGATCTGAGCTATCTCAGAAAAATAATTATCTCTGTATGTTGGCCTGTACAAATTGACACCATATCCCAGTGTATGAGACAGGAATCGTGCCCTGATAAATCTTCACAAACCTTAAACACCACTGTACAATGATAAAGTAGCTCAAAAACGCCCATTACTGGCAAAACTGTATACGGAAACACAACAGATTCAATTTATAAAGCACCGTTCATGTAGGGCAACATCTCAAAGATCTCTAAGAGACTTTACTGTACATAGAATCATAGAATTATACAGCACACAAGGAGGCATTCAGCCCATCGTGTCTGTGCCAGCTCTTTGAGAAGAGCTATCCAAACCAATCCCACTCCCCCGCTCTCTCCCATAGCCCTGCAAACCTGTCCTTCCCAAATAATTATCTACTTATCTTAAAAGTTGTTATCGAATTGGCTTCCACCAGCCTTTCAGGCAATGCATTCCAGATGTGAACAACTCACTGTGTGAAAAAATTTCTCCTCACCTCCCCTCAGCTTCTTTTAACAACTATTTTAAATTGGCGTTCTCGGGGTTACCGACCCACCCGCCAGTGGGAATAGTTTCTCCTTGTTCACCCTATCGAATCCCCTCATAATTTTGAAAACTTCTATGAAGTCTCCTCTTAACCTTCTCTGCTCCAATAGAATAATCCCGGCTTCTCTGCCTCTCCTGGTTACTGAAGTCCCTCATTCCTGGTACCATCCTGGTCAATCTCCTTTGTACCCTTTCCAATGCCTTGACATCCTTCCTAAAGTGTGGGGCCCAGAACTGAACACAGTCTCCAGCTGAGGTCTAACTGGTGTTTTATAAAGGTTCATCATAACTTCCTGACTTTTGAACCTAATGGTTCCCTCCTTAATAGTGGTCATCTGAGTGACCGCCTCAGGCATGGTCAAAGAGTAGGTTTTTCAGGAAGCTTTAAAGGCAAATAGAGGGTGAAAATCAGAGGGATTTAGGGCGGGAGCTTCAAGAGGGGGATAGTGGCTGAAGCCTTGTCCGCCGATGGTGATTTAGTGAGGGCGAGGAATCCACAGCAGGTTCGAGTCTCCTTACGGAGGAGGCTAGAAAAGGTCATGCAGAGGTAGGGAGGGGGTGAGGACATGCAGGAATGGGTAGATGAGAGAGCCTGAGTTGTCAGCCTGCCTCAGTTGGTCGCGCTCTTGAGCAGAAGGTTCAAGCCTCACACATCAGGAATTTGTCCTGGTCAACAATCACCCAAATACAATTGGTTACTAATGGCTTGTTTGAATGAGATGGCCGATCGGTTAAATTATGGAAATATTACGCTGCACACTTGGTAGCACATGAAATGAGGTTAAAATTGTTCACTTCATTAATAAAATTGTTTGTGGGTTGGATTCAAACCCAGCTCTCAGCAGTGGAAAGGCTGGGGATTTAACTCAACTTTCAAAATCAATTCAAAATATCACCATTTAATATGCTACCTTAAACCCTGATTGTGCAGTTCCATTTCCACACCAATAAGTGACCGCCTGATTCAGTTGGTAGCATCCTTGCCTCTGAGTCAGAGAAGGTTGAGAGTTTGAGCTCCGCAGAAGGACTTGGAACTAATATATTCTAAGCTGCCATTCCATTGAAGTGCTGGTGGTGTTCTGCGTTGTCAAAGGTGCTGTCCTTCGATCAGACGTTAAACCAAAGTCTCGCCTGACCATTCAGGTGGATACAATACTGGCCGCTGTTTTCTACGTGTGGTATTTTTCTTTACGTAACTGCTTTATATTCATTGTTGCAAAATGCTTTCCGAAATCTTAATGATCAACAATGCACGGAGGCATGCAATACCATGCATTCAGTTTGATTTAATTCTAAATTTATGTGATTTAAGAACATATGATAAAAATACTGACCGGAGGAGGTACACTGCATACAGGGTAATGTTGTCCACTAAATACAACCGAACACCCTGGAACTTGCTGTGTATTACATGCTGGGATATGTTGGCCTGTGCAAAGTGGGATCCCATGTGGTGCTACTGTGGTAACGGTATATGAAACAGGAACGGTGCCCTGATGAATCTGCACAGAAGGAAAGAAAATATAATGTTAGTTATTATTCAAAGATGGATTAACAGCACTTTCATCCTTGCTGATATTTTCTCTATTATTCAGCATATGCCACGCGCTATTCAACGTACAACAACAACTTGCACTTATAAAGCGCCCTCCACGCAGGTTAGCGTCTCAGAGCTACAGCTCTTAACAGCGGTGAAGCGGGGGGGAGGGTGTTGAGAGGTGGTCTTAAGCACGGTTGAAGAGGAAAGTTTTCAGGCGGGACGTGAAAAGGGGAGGGGGCAAGGCGGAGGGATTGAGGGAGAATGTTCCAGGGTTTCGGGTTGAAAACGCCACCTCCAATGGTGGGGCGGAGGGTTCGAGGGCCGAGCAGGAAGTCGGTGCCAGTCGAGCGGAGGCGCCGGGTGGTGGAGGAGGTCGGAGAGGTAAGGGAGGTGCCCGAGAGTGAAGGAATTTGAACATGAGTGTGAAGATCTTGAAGTCGATCCGTTCGGTGATGGGGAGCCAGTGGAGCCTGGGCCAGAGCTGGTGAGTTTGGTTGGGGTCAGTATGCGGGCGGCAGAGTTCTGAATGAGCTGGATGCAAGGATTATTATTATTATAATGAAAATATGCACGAGAGCTTAAATATATCTGTAGGTAACAAACGTTTGACTATGACTTACAACAACTTGCATTTATATAGCACCCTTCATGCAAGTAACATCCCAGAGTGCTTAACGGTGCTGTGTGTTGTACACCGAGCTGGAATGAGAGTGGAGATGACCCAAGGCACAGTCGAAAAGTCAGATGTGAGTTGAAGAAGGGCAAAGAGGGGCGATAAAGGGAGGAAGTTCCAGAGATTCGGGGCACAGTGGCTGAGTGCACGGCCGCCAACGCTGGAGAGGAGGGGACGAAGTTATGTGCAAACCGGCTGAGCAGATCGGAAAAGTATGGAAGTGCCAAGAGCGTGAAGTGATTTGAAAATGAGAGTCAGGTACTTAAAATCGATTAGTTCTGCATTAGGAAGCCAGTGGATCCTGGCAAGAATTGGGGTGAAGGGAGTGTAGAGCCCGATATGGGTGAGGAACGAGCAGCAGAGTTTTGAATGATTTGGATCTTGTTCATGTTGAAGCTGGAGAGAACGGGGAGGAATGCACATGTTCAGCCACAGAAAGTTGGCGTGTATAGAAATCGGCTGAACTGTGTGTAGTCAAGATTGGTTCCATCATTCTGTACTGCAATGTTGCAGGGTGGTTTATGGCCTGAGTTGAACTGTGGATAATCTGATTTCCTTGTGTCTCAATAAAATGCTTTTGCTTTATGAAACTGGGGTAGGATACAGTATGAACTTGGTAAGAAATCAAGGCTATGGCATGTCCTAGACAGATTAAAACAGTCCTTGATACACTAGTTTATGTTACATTCGTGCAGTTTTATGCTGTGGACTTTTGCCCAGAAGAAATAGCATTTAAACTGCCTAAATCCATTTAAATTAGGACCATTGGAGACAGAATCTCATCCAATCCTTTTGGTCAAATTTCAACCCAGGTCCCAGAAGTGAAAGGTGAGTGTAATAATGCATGGTCTAATCCACGTCTGATTGCTCCAATTTATTAAGTAATAAAAAATATTAAAATCATGATTGCCATTTCAAATTAAAATATAAATTATTTTTTCGATAAAAAAATGACATAACCAGTTCACTTAAACCAGACTAGTTTAATTTCATGAATGGACTGACAGATAATACTTAAGGGAATGAGTTTTTTGTTACATTTTCAGGCCTGGGTAGACATGGGAGTTTTCCATCTCTGACAGCAACATTCTTCATATGTTCAACCATCACATACAATCAGGACTCATCATTCATAGACGACAGGAAAGAATAACTTAGGGAATCTTGTCCATTTAAGAATTTGCACCCTTGCATAGTCATTTTAATCAGGTGAATCACGGCTTCTGGCAGCAAGTTCCACATTCTCACCACCCTCTTTGTGAAAGTGTTTTTTTCTGAACTCCCTCTCGATCTGCCATTGGCAGAAATGTAGACCCGAGCGGTGTCAACCGTTATTGCTAAGTCTCGAAATCTGTTTTTTATTCTGTTCAAAAACATTTGGCCAAATTCACACGGTGTAAACACCATACGAGCAGCAGCTGTGACAAACACTTGTGAAATGGTTAAAAGGTGCTAATTGTGTTGGAACTGAGACAAAACATCTTCAAGAGTAAGTTTGAACAATCTGCTAAACTTTGTTACAGCTCAGCAGATTACTTGACTAGTTTGATAGAAACGCCAGTCACTGAAAAACAAGTTGTTATAAGAGCCTCATAACAGGGCCTAGTTTAAGGGCCCAAATACTGTGTTTATAATACTCCAGCATCTTATCTATTTGACAGAGAATTCATTTGAGGAGTGAAAGACAAAGTTCTATTGGAGTGTACTGCCATTTTTATTTATTTCATCAGTTTGAGACTGACTAAATGAAGTGTTTTGCATTTAAGGAGTGAAATACATTCCAATGTTCCTGTAGCATTCAGCTCAAGACATCATTCTAGCCCGTTCTCTAATTTTAAGATAAATTTTAATAAGCACGTCCTGCCAAAGAAGGCTTTTGGGTTACGTTGTGTACCAAACTGATCTCATTTGTGAAGTCCAGGGAAGCAGCTGCAGTGAGGGAAGACTCCAGCCTACATTGACCTCATGTTGAACACCCTGGAGACGGCTTTACAGGCGCCTATTTGCTGAGGCCCCTCACATAAGAACCCGGATTAAGCAGTTGGTGTTGAGTAAGTCTGCTATGTTTCACTGGATATGGACCTCGAGAACATCAAGGTGTCCTGTAAAAATCCTCCCACCACAACGAAAGCTCTAAGACGCTATCCTGTGTGAAGGACGCTTCATAAATACAATATTGGTGTTGTTAAAGGCAGTTGTTTGTTGAATAGTTGATGAAGAAACTCTGAGGCTTGAATTTTGCAAACACACATTGATATACCCACTGCTTGATATCATGAACCACGTATGAGCTGTGGGCACGAGCATGTTGACAATGCTCCCACATGTTTCATGCTGAGCTGCATTGCCCAGGCAGGCTCTGGGAGTTCCTGTTACCTGCTCTCCACCTAGTGAGGGCTCTGGGCTTTTGCCAACCTGCGCTTAATACTGTCTGGATTTGGTAAACAGTGTGCATCCATCCAGGGAGAGAGTTCATAATCCATTCCAGACACAGGGGAATTTCCACAGGGGAACTAAGTGACATACATATGTGGAATTCTCAGTCTGGTTTGGTTACTATTAAGCACATTGATGGGTTCCGGTTCCCAACATGTGTCAGACACCCAGCTGACTAAAACAAGTCTGACTTTAGAGATGAGTCATTCATGTTTCACTAAAACGTAAGAGTGTTACCAACTGAGTCAAATGGATAACCAAATTTTTTTTTACAAAATGAAGGCTAAGGTCCTGAGAGATTTGAGGCCTCAAAATACTCCTCTGACCTCTCCAGGGAGCACTGCCAATTTTGTGCTAGTCTATAACAACAGCAAGATTACAATTGTATAATAATTTTATGCTGGGAATTTGCATCCATTAGGACATGGAGTTCAATTACCTAAATTCAATTCAGATAGTAACACTTCAGATGGAAAAGCAGCGAGAGAGAAGACAGTCTTTTCAGTCTTACAAATTCAGGTTCCAGAAATGAAATGATAGTGCTTTTATCTCTCTAATTCATCTAATCCCCCAACCATATTAGTTTGAATCTAAATGCATAACCTCCTCTCATCAGTTTTGCTTAGCAACAAAGATGAACTGTGTTGAAAAAATTTCCCATGCCTGAGAAACTAAATTTACATCACAGGATGCACATGTACTAAAGGATACAACTAAAGATACTACATTCCCTCACCTCTACACCACCCCTCCCCCATGCTCGGGCTGACTGTTCAGCGCTTTGGGATGTCCTCCCAACGTGAAAGGCGCTCTAAAATGAATTCCAGATACGTTGTTTTGACTGCTCAATAAGAATGAATGGATAAAGAATGATTTATCTTTTGGAACCCGGCCCCATAGTAACCCAATTGTAATTGGTGCCGAGGGAAAATATGCGGTTCTGACTGAATTTACGTACCTGATCATGGATGTCAACCATTGCAGCATTCTGCTGGGGAGGGTGTGCAGCAGGGTGCAGCATTCGTGGAGATACATTCGGAGGGTGAAATGCTCTAGGCTCCTCTACTGCTGGTTGCTGTCCATAAGGGTGGTGGTGATAATTTTCATCTTGGCTCATAGAACTATGTCTGGTTAGCCTTTCTCGTCTCCCTCGCTGGCGTCTGACTGGAGGACTGAACCAAACAAGATCGTAGTCAGAAAAAAAAAGTACTTGAATAACACTGGCCTGAATATTTTATCATTCATGACCTTTGCAGTAAAGCAAAACATTAGCTGGTGCTAACAGCACAAAAAATCAACACCACTACACACAAGTAATATTTGCCTTTTGGAATAATTAAATTGCTTTGTTGAGTCATGGTAATCACAGGTGATACATTGATATTTGTCATAAACATTGCACGATTACAATTAATGTGTTCTTGCACAATTGACATGTAGCGTGGGATTACAACTAACTGCACGATCACAATTGACATGCTTTCATCACCTCCTGCCTTGATTTTTCCAAGACGCTCCTTGCCAGTCTCCCCAGCTCCGCCACCCACAAAATCCAAACGATCCGTTGTCCTTATCGTCACCCGTACCAAACTCTGCATCCCCATCGCACCACAGAACGGGTCGATTTCAAGTGCCTTACCCTCGCTTACAAATCAATTCACACCCTAGTTGGCACCTCCCTACCTTTCCGACCTGCTTACACCCCACTCCGCTACCTGACACTTTGCTCAGCTGGCGCCGGCCTTCTAGTGTCCTTCATCCCCTCCACTCTGCCATCAGTGGCTGGGCTTTCAGCCACAACGCCCCGAAACTCTGGAATATTCTGCTTCGATCCCTTCGCCTTAGCCTGTTCCTTGCTTGTCTGAAGATCTTCCACTTTGACCGTGCGGATGTTACCTCCCTTCTCACCCCGGTTCGGCATCAACCTCCGCCATTCTTAAGTTATCCAAGACACTACCCCAGGCACAAGTTGTTGTTGACACGCACTGGATTACCACACACTCTGATGATCATAACTAACACTCATCACATAATTCACAACTAATATGTACCGCATGATCACAACATATACACACATTAACACATAGCACGTCATCACACCAAATTACCAAGTTATTCTAAATTTGTAAATGTATTTTGATTCATATTTTTACATTTTCTGAATCAATTTAATCAACGTCTATTATCAGGTACACCACAATAATAAAATCACATTTGTAAAGCGCCTTTCACGCTGGCAGGACATCCCAAGTCGCTGAACAGTCGGGGATCAGGACCTGAGCGTGGGGGAGGGCAGGATTGAGGTGAGGGAGGGCAGAGAGGTCGGAGGGCGGCTGAGGGCACAGTCGAAAAGGAGCGTCTTTAGATGTGTCTTGAAGGAGGCAAGGGAGGGAGCAAGGCGAAGGGATTGTGAGATTGAGTTCTAAAGGGTGTGGACAGAGAAGCTGAAAGCCTGGCCGTCAATGGTAGGGCGGGAGACTTGGAGCAAGCTGGCCCGATCCTGCTGAGCAGAGGGAGCCAACGGGTTGACAGAGATCAGCAGGTCAGAGATGTAGGAGAGGGCAAGACATTTAATGCTTATGTTACATTAATCGTCCACTGCCAACAAATGCAGTAAATAATAAGATTGTACAGTCCTGTAGGACTGTAAGAGTCTTGTAGCTCAGTGGTTAGAGCACTCGCTGAGCTCAATTCCAGGCAGGGCGAAACCTTGGGCAAGTTTTCTTACTCCGCTTAATAATAATCCCTCCAAAAAAACAATAATAAATTGGTCATTTGCAATCTACGACTGTTTGTGGGACATCGCTGTACGCAATTGGCTGCTGCGTTCGCCCACAAATATACAGTCAATTCACTTTGCAATGTGTTCTGTGAAGCGCTTTGGGATGTCCTCCCGACGTGAAAAGCGCTATATCAAATGCGAGGATCATTATTATTATTACAATATTTTTTAATTGATACATAGAAAGTTTCTGTTTTACAAATATTCAGCAAGTACTGAAAGAGTGCCACAGAAATCAGGATCCTCTTGCAATATTGCATAATTTTATGACAATCCTAAACTACAGTAAGCAAGGATTATTTTCATGAGGATAAACAACATTGAGGACGACTGGCAGACAGAATTTAGTGTTCAAGGTTCATTGGAGCAGTAAAGCGTTCAACGTAAAGAGGTAATCTTTCATGAAATGAACAAAATGAATTTGGTTGTGGTTACTGATCGTTCACCAAATGTTTCCAAGACAACAGGATCAATAAATCACACTAGCACGTCACCACTGTGTGACAGCTGGAAAAAGCACCTGAGGTGAATAGCCTTTTCTCCTGGCATGCCCCTATATGAGACATTGGTTCTCATGACAACTAAGGCCCTCGCTGGAATCTTGCACGGTTGTTTCTTGTGGCTGCTAGAGCCAACGTCAAGCTGTTGTCAACAAAGGGTAACCAAATGCTCTGCTGTTTCTTGAGGGTAGCTGACTGTCAGTCAAATAAAGGTACTCTAAAGGATATCTGCAATAATATGTGCAAGCCTCGGCACTCTAACAAAAAAGGGCACTGAAGAGTTGGAGAAGAGTAATAAGGATGACTTGGGATTTCGAGTTCTAAGTCATAAGGAGACACTGGGTTTTCATCAGAAAAAATCATCGAAGGCTGTGCTGTTCAGACCTTTGAACTGACAAGGCATTGATGATGAAACACATATACGCAGGCTATTAGTGCAGAACTAGGAAAGCATAGATTTAAATCATAAGAACCTCAAGTAGGACTAGAGATTAGAAGATTTTGTTTCCTTAATAGTTGATATGTAGAGCAGACTCCCAACAAATGTAGTTAATACTACAGGAATTAACTACTTTTAAAAAATAACTGAATAAGGATCCGCTTCAAAAAAGTCATGAGGATATAGAGATCGATACAAACTGAAAATGAATAAATACTCCACAGATTGCAATGATTCCTGCGGTTGCTTTTGACTCCTGGATGTGGTCTGCGAAGGAGGGTGGGGTACAACAGAGGACACGGATAATAATAATAATAATAATAATAATAATGGCCATTGAAGCCTGGATGCACAATCTGGAGCTTCTACTTGATTATCTTAGACTATTACTTCTGAGTCAGAAGGTTATGGGTTCAAGCCCCATACCCGTGACTTCAAGCTCATAGTCTCAGCTGATCCCCCAATGCAGTGCTATGTTGTTTGGACATCTTGAGGATATAAGGTACTATATCAAATGCAAGGATCATCATTATCTTCAGGATTCTGGGAAAATCTATACAATAAATTCAGGCTGAGCCGGTGAGGTACAGAATAGAATAACTTTTGGTGCGAGTGTGGTAAAGAAGTCGAGTTCCGTTTGGTGGCGGTTTGGTGTTCGTTGCTTAGTGTTCTGAAGAAACAAGTGGTAATTTTTACAATGTTTCATTAATTGCATATTGTAGGCGAGGTGTTAATATTATGAAGTGAGATATTTTTAATCTTCTAATTTCTAAAAGGAAGTGCATTTTTTAGCTGGTATACCATCTGCTTCATCGTGTGATTTTCACATTAACTGATGACTGTTCATTTGACTATTCTTGTAGTATCTAATTTAAGGAAATTAATCAGCGTTTACTACACTTCCTTGTGAGTCAGAACTGCAACAACCAGGCTTCAATGGCCATTTTATTGGACTGGGGAGAAGAAGTTTGTCTAGACATGAAAGCAAAGATAACAGACATAAGGGGCTTCTGTAGCCCATCATTCCAATTCTGATGAAAGAAACTTGAAACTTTAAAATAACTTTTCCTTTCAGTTGCTGATTCCTTTCTGTTTCTATGATTCTTCATTCTTACGTTGGATACCAGATCTTTTTATCACATGTTTTCTTGTGATATATCAAATGTCGACAGTGTTAAGAGTCAGGCTTTGCCACTGCACGCTCTGGGACGCTATCCTGTGTGAAGGGCGCTATATAAATGCAAGTTGCTGTTGTTGTAAACAGCATTCACCCCCACGTCTGCCTTACTGCATACTTTCTGAAAACGTTTGATAACTGATTTATTTTCTATCTTTCAAAATACTCGTTTCTTTTCTGTCACACAGCGTCTTCAGGGCCGACGGTCTACTCTTAAGTAGAATTAAGTAGAACTAATTGGCTGCCACGTTTCACTCACAAAATATACAGTCAATTCATTTTTACAGGGTATTCTGTGAAGCGCTTTGAGAGGTTTGTTATTCCAAATCTCAAAGGGTACCTTCAATCTGAAGTACATTTCAAGTTCCATCTGCTTTCACTCCACAAAACATATGTATTTTCACTTGTCGTCCTCCTGAAGAGGAGACTAAATTAAACTAAACTGCATCCTATTTGTAACTAAAACATTACCTTCTTCTGTTTCGTGCAGGTGTGTTGCATCTTTCCCCTGAGAAGTGGTGTTGGTTGGGTCGAGCCGAGGGAGGTCGCCTGTTAGATGTCATCTCCCATGGTCGCATTGGTGGTGATGGGGCAGGAGATACTGCTGTGTATTCAAAAACCGAATGAGAGAGGCGCTGGCGCTTAGGACTTGGACTGTCTTCACTCTGTTTAGAAAAACATCAGAAAAAGATGTCTAATTTAGTAACGCAATAATGCACAGTCCCATCGTCTATGCAAGTGTAATATGTGTGTCAGCAATATTTTGAAACCACGCAGTACATCATTTTCTAATGTAGAGTTAACAGTTTTAATCCACCAAGAGCATATAGTTCCTGAGCAGAATATGAAGAGAGGAAGTTTCAGGCAGGCCCTTGTCGCTCATATTGCACCTCCAGCGTACATTATAAAACGGAACAAAAATATTTACACAAACATCAGCAAAATGCAGCTATTGCGCATTTGACCTTATTTCGTAGTTGCTGGTATGTTAAACCACATTTGAAAATTAATCTATATTACTCTCATGAAAAACTCATACACTTTGATGACAGCAAACTGAATTGAATCAGTAAGAAGATTTGGATGATGGCTCTTTCAGCCCATTTTATATCATCCTTCCACAATAATAACTAATTACCATGACAGCAGAGTCTTCCCATTACAACATCTCATTCTTCTATAATATCTGCGCCACAGTCTTCCCAATAAAGCATGTTTTTAAAAGTTTCTTTATCGCAAGCTGTTTCTTAAATGTCTTAAATAAACCCAGTTTCCTAGCTTGACCACTCGTTTTGAAAACCCATCCCAGCTGTCAATGACCTCGAGTGTAAAGAAATAATATCTGTCCTAAAATTGCCCTTTACAACCCTGAACCTGAGCCCTCGTCCTGCGACCTTCGAGTATCTGAAAGTTTTCTTTCTCAGTTCAGCCTCTTACAGACCTCTGTCGGATTCCGCTGAAGACCTTAGCCTATTTAGTCATCTGTCATAGCTTAACCCCCTCCAACACTGACGATCGTTTCTCTCTTTAGTGTTACCTCTTTTGCCCACGTAACCCCTTCCCAATCTATATGGTCAATTAGTTCAGCGTGCTCAGTTGGTAGCACTCTCGCCTCTGGGTCAGATGTGACTTTAACCAGATGCCTCTTTGGCATGTTCTTCAGGAGGACAACACTATTCAACAACAACAACAACTTGCACTTATAATGCGCTCTCCACCCAGAGTCCTGTCTCAGAATGCTTCAAAAACAGAAGCGAGTTTTTCCTGGTATCCTGGCCAACAACTAATTGCTCATTCTACTCATGTTTTTTTGCGGGACTTTGCTCGTGTTCAAAATGGATGTCGTGTTTGCTCCCCCACACCCATTCCCCCCCAAAAAAATCACAACACTAGTCAGTACATTTTTCAAACTTATAGGAGCTATAAAAATGCATGTTCTTTCTTTCGTTGCAAGTCAATAGCACTTTGAAGAAAATTGGGCTGTTTTAAACCTGGGATTAATTTTCTACCCTTTAATGCCTTACCAATACATTAGGAAAATTTAAAAATCTGGGTGAGGAATGGCTTCAATAGATTTTTTTGTACTATAAAGGCTAATTGCATCCTGCTGGCAAACTGGCTTGAAAGAACAGGAGAAATGTCAAAATTAGTGCCTCGAATCTCATACAAATCTAGAAATAAGATATGCAAGACCAGGAGCCATGAGCAACTGAACAAAAACAAGACAATTGTGTTTTCCATGTTTTTGAAATGAAAATATCACCTGGCAGGTCCTTTCCTGTGCCCAGAGTAGCTGCGCTTTATTTTTACATGTCCTGTAAATTTGTATGTCTTTGGCATACGAACAAGAATTTCACATCAGGACGTAAGTATGGTTTCCATTTCAGTTGGCACGAAAAGGAATTAAGAAACTCATGAGAGAAAGTCCCTAAGGTTTGATGAAAATATGACAGGCAGGTTATTAAAGGTGACTTTTTTTTTTAATGCCACTGATGGTGACTAACGTAATTGTCCAGTGAACACTCTTCTCAATTTTACAAGCGTATATTTACTGGCACAGTTGTACATTTTGCTTAAACGGTGTTTTGGGGAGCACGTGCCTATACAAGAGCCTGCTGTTATACATACACTGGAGAGGCAGGGCTGACACTTCGAGTTTAGCAGCTGTGATGATGGGGAGGGTAAGAAAGAATTGCAGGGAAAGGTATTGCCATTGTAAAGCTGTGGTGCTGTTCTTGTAACCTCTTGAGATACGTGAATGGAAAATAAATAAAATAATAATAATCCGGTCACTCAATCCACCACTGTTTGCAGGACACTGCTGTGCGCAAATGGCTGCCTTGTTTCACCCACAAAATATAGTCAGTTCACAGTATATTCTGTGAAATGCTTCCAAGATGTGATAAGGTGCAATATCAAATACAAGGATCATTATTATTAACTGACATTGCTGGTGAAGGAGGCATTCTGAACCTGTTCCGAGAGGAGAAACAGAAGCTTAGGTCATCAATTCTACAAGAGTTAGATTCTGCTTTTTGTAGCTTGTAGACAAATTCTCACACAAAAGAGAACTGCTTCTAGGAAGACTCAGCTGATACTTCAAAAAGCTCTAAAACAAGCTCGCCCTCGCAAACCATAGCCGAGTTATCCACCATGTGATCATTCAGCAGATTTTGTAGAAAGTTGAAAAGCAGGTTAGGAAGACGTCGGCTATCAATAACAGTATGTGGGAACATCTGGTATCAATCCTCCATAAACAGCAAAATAACTCAAACTCATGCACCAAACATATCACACGCAACTAACTACAGAGATTCCATCCCTCGCTGATGAGATAGGTTGGAGCCAGACATGTTTCTTCACATCTCCAGTTCATACCCCGAATCCAACCATTCAATACAAATGATCGAGAATCCGTCAATAGCTACCTGGTCTGAGAAGGGGAAACGGAAACCTAAGTCAGCCTTTGGATCCGCTCAATACCTACTTTTCTGCCTATTGACTTTGCTATTAGTGAATAGTGGACTCTGTTAGCATACGGACAACAACAACAACTTGCATTTACATATTGCCTCTCACGCAGAGTAGTTTTCTACAGCACTTGAAATCACAACTCGTACTTGCCATGGCAAGAAATTGCATTCCTTCACCTTTCCTAACATGATATAAACCGTGCGGGAAGGGAAAGAGGCTTCAGAGATAAGTACAGTATTCCAATCACGTCTATATATAGAGTGTGTACACTTAACTCTGAACATTCATGAATCGCTCTTATTTGCATTATGTATTTGTACAACAGCGGCAGTATTGATATTGTAAATAAAACCTCTCTCACGTCTTTTAAAAAAAACTGAAGTGACGGTTCGCTAAACTGTGGTGACCGTTAGATGATTTGCAGTAGAAATCCTAGAGTTCTTTGGATACAGCTCCGAACACTCCCAAGTCACTCTGTGGTGTGAGAGAATGCTAAAAACTCAAAACTTGAATCTGCGGCACAGATCGTCCCATGACCCAGCAAGAACATTGGAAACATATACAAACCCAACATCTGGATCAGCACTAAATGAGGTATTAATCTGGCTGATTTAAAGGGGCCTCTGAGCAGGGTTAGAGTTAGAATGTTCCTGGTTGCATAATTAACCCACCAGCTACAAAATAGAAACTGCACTGCTTTCTCAGGACTGTACAATTTATAAAGTATTGTATACGGTGCAAACTGCAACATGAAATTACATTTGTAGAGCGCCTTTCGGGTTGGGAAGACGTCCCAAGGAGTATAATGAAGCTTTTTATTGCACAAAATACAGTGAAATGGCTGAGAGCCACCGATGATTGGTACAAGGTCTTACTTGGTCTCTGAACAACTTCTGCACTTTGGAAATGTGGGGTAAATCAGACGCCATGATTTGGATTTAATGTAGACCTGATTTTATGCCAATGGCCCATTAGTAGGCAGAGGGCGAAACCTTGGGCAAGTTTCCTTACTCCACACAGAGCCTAATAATAATCCCTCCAAAACCAAAAACAATAATAAATTGGTCATTTTCAATCTACGACTGTTTGTGGGACATTGCTGTGCGCAATTGGCTGCCGCGTTCGCCCACAAATATACAGTCAATTCACTTTACAGTGTGGTCTGTGAAGCGCTTTGGGACGTCCTCCCGACGTGAGAAGCGCTATATCAAATGCAAGGATTATTATTATTATTATTATTATTAAGGCAGGACGCTACATTTCTTAGGATCACTACAAAGAGTGTTCCACGTTAGTTAGAGACCATGGAAGGCAAGCAAGCCTGAGAAAATGACAAGTGTAAGAACTTAAAAATCAGCACAAGTAAAGCAGTTAACATGCAACCATCATAGACTGGCGTCATAACTACTTGTCTGAAAACCTAGACTTTATCTGGACTCAGAACAAATAGGTCTATTTTGCAGCAGCTAAACAACGATCAGCCGTTGTTTTAAATAAGGTAACCCAAACCAAAAAAGTACAAATATGCCTGTAAATGAGGAAGAACGACGATAAAATCAACAGTATTCATCTCTATCTCAATAACAAAAAATCTTCATGTGACCAGTTAACAACTAGTCAGAAAGATGGACCACAATGTTACGTGCCTCCTCAAATAGTGCTCTTGCAAACGCTGTTTATTTCACCTAGAAAGCCAGTGCCAACGTTTCCAACAAGACCTCTGCTCCCTGTGAAACTGTTTCCCAGACACTGTCATCACATCACTGTCAACTCAATCTGTTCTACAGAGCCAAACATCCCTTGATGAGCTGTGATTTCTGGAGCATGCATTAGGCTGTGCTAAAACTGTTGTCTAATCCTATTTTCATACTTTCAGTCTTTAATTATTACAGTTGTCTCCATCTGCTGTCATGCCATCTTTTTAAAAAAAAACAACAAAGCAAACCTAATTTTCTCTCTACGACATTTTGAATCTCAGCAATCAGAGAAAAAGTGTTGGGAAAAGAAATATGTTGGCTCTTTTTATCCAGTAATATTTTCCAAGTGTTTTGCAGCTTAGACCCCGCATTCAAAGACAATTGTTTGAAACGTATTACAAGGAGACTGCTTAATTACCTCTTAGTTCAAAGGAGGAATTCTCTGAAAGCCAAACAGCATCAATTTGATTCATGAACTCACATACTAAGGCAAA